ATATATAAATAAAGCCTTATGTCTTCAGTTGTTGTGTTAATAGTAACCAGTACTTGGCGGGGGATATAAATTCAACGAATTTGCTTGTTTTTAATGTTGTTTATAAAATTATGTAATGTGTTATAATGCACTTGATTGTCCTACCTGTTTGAAAGGAAAATAGTACGAAGCGTGTTAAAATAATAAACAAACCATTAGATAAGTATGTTTACTGTTTTCAATTCATGGTCAATTCCTAGGCACCAAAACTCAAAACCGGTGATATTTAGCCTATAAACCTAAAATAAGGCACCAAAACTTAAAACCGGTGATATTTAGCCTATAAACCTTAAGGCACCAAAACTTAAAACCAGTGATATTTAGCCTATAAACCTTAAGGCACCAAAACTTAAAACCGGTGATATTTAGCCTATAAACCTTAAGGCACCAAAAACTCAAAACCGTTGATATTTAGCCTATAAACCTTAAGGCACCAAAACTTAAAACCGGTGATATTTAGCCTATAAACCTTAAGGCACCAAAACTTAAAACCGGTTATATTTATCCTATAAACCTTAAGGCACCAAAACTCAAAACCGTTGATATTTAGCCTATAAACCTTAAGGCACCAAAACTCAAAACCGGTGATATTTAGCCTATAAACCTTAAGGCACCAAAACTTAAAACCGGTGATATTTAGCCTATAAACCTTAAGGCACCAAAACTCAAAACCGTTTGATATTTAGCCTATAAACCTTAAGGCACCAAAACTCAAAACCGGTGATATTTAGCCTATAAACCTTAAGGCACCAAAACTCAAAACCAGTGATATTTAGCCTATAAACCTTAAGGCACCAAAACTCAAAACCGTTGATATTTAGCCTATAAACCAAAAATCCTTAAGGCACCAAAAAATCAAAACCGTTGATATTTAGCCTATAAACCTTAAGGCACCAAAACTCAAAACCGTTGATATTTAGCCTATAAACCTTAAGGCACCAAAACTGGTGATATTTAGCCTATCAACACAGCTCAGACATATTATATCTTAAATAACACAAACTTTTTTAGTCCTTCTATTATCAAATGGAAACTGAAACTTTCAGTCCTTCTATATTTAAAAGGAAAATTGAGGGTCGTATATATTCAGATATTTCTGTGAATCATGTCGCTTATTGGAGATACACTTGACAATACAACTGAAAGCAATTATGGCAAAAACTGCAGAGCTGTACTTTTTGTAGATTTTAAGATATTGCTAAAGAGCTATAAGAACTGAGGTATTGTTACAGTTATGTCGGCGTTATCGTTGTTGTTGCCGTTGCCGTCCCAAACTTGTACTTTTGATCATATTTTTAGCTCACCTGTCACAAAGTGACAGGGAGAGCTTTTGTGATCGCTTTTCGTCTGGCGTCCGTCTGTCCGGCGTCCGTAAACTTTTACTTTAAATGACATCTCTTCATAAACCACAAGGACAATTTCATCCAAACTTCACAGGAATGTTCCTTTGGTGGTCACCTTTAAAAATTGTTCAAATAATTTAATTCCATGCAGAACTCTGGTTGCCATGGCAACCGAAAGAAAAAACTTTAAATATCTTCTTTTAAAAAACCCTAAGAGCTTAGATATTTTGCACTGAGTGTCTACCAAGTTTGTTCAAATAAAAGCCCTGGGGTCAAAATTGGCCCCGCCCCAGGGGGTCATTGATTTTCCCAATACTGAATAGGCATATAGTAAAGACTTAAAAAATCTTCTTTTAAAGATCCCAAAGAGCTAGAGCTTAGATGTTTAGCATGAAACATCTTCTTATGGGTGTGGGGAGGGGCTATATACAGGTGAGCGACCTCAGGGCCATAATGGCCCTCTTGTTTAAGTTTTTGGTGTATTTGTATTATCTTCACACTTGGCCACAACAACTCTTGGACAAAAATTTTAAATAGACCACACTAACCTTGACCTTTATTCATAAATGACCCAAGCCTTCAATGTCAAATTCCAAACTTTGCTTGCTTTTTCCTGATTTTTTTTTTCAATTAGAAGCTATTATAAACTTTTTTATTTTTGAATGGATTGTCTTCAAATTTGAAAACCAAAATTTTTAAGGATATACAGGGCTAACACTTGCAAGTTTTTTCTTTGAGCCAATTTTTCGCGGCGAAAATTGCCTGCCTGTATTTAATACAGCCAAATTGATATTTATGGTTATGTGAAAACCATTTCTAACAACAAATCTTAGATGAGCAATCTGGGGCCAATATGGCCCTCTAGTGATAGTAGCAATGCCTTCATTGTACGTCAAAGTTCATGTCCCTTACATGGCATACAAGTGTTTGTGTTCAGTCATAGTTAATGCTGGATTTTCTTGGATTCTTACAAATTGTATCTAAAAATATTTCTTTTTTCCTCTAGAAATCAAGATTACACATGAGAAACATTCAAAAAATAACAAATACCAACATTGGGTTAAGTCAGGCCTAGGCTTGGGTTATCTTAAAGAGGGACTTGCGCCATTTTGTGATGACATAGGGAAACAGCAGCACAACGATATTATAAACCAAATACAACAAACAAAGACTCCTAAACCAAACGTACCATGCAGCGCCTGTCAGATAACAACCCTCCAGCCAGACCATGTCCGAGTCTCAAAAGGGATGATGTCCCTCAAACAAGGAAAAATGTAACTGTTGTTTTCCAAATAAATAAGAGACCCTGGTCCAAACAATGTATGTTGGGTGGCCATCTTATGACAAGCATTATACAGAATCATGCATCAATACCACTTGGCACCTTTTTTGGGAAAAAACATGATGTCCAACATGGCCGACAGACCCAGGAGTGTTATGGAAATGTTTTATAAAATGGCTCTCTGGGTACAAAGGACAAGAACATTCAGCAGTCCGACACTGATTGTAACTGGGTTGCTTTCAATGTTATCATAAATAAAATTAAGTACTTTCATAGCCATATTGGATGCAATGTTACAGGAAACCCAAACAATCCTTTTTCAAAGGTAACAATCCATTTCGTATACATATATGTTTATTTTAAATTTTGTAGAATATTAGGCTTTACTGTAAGATTAAAATGTTTGTCTGTTAATTGCGTATAAAAGTAAAAGAGATAATTGTTACCTTTAGTGTAGTTATTATGCCCCCACTTCAAAGAAGAGGGGTATATTGCTTTGCATTTGTCGGTCCGTCAGTCCGTAGACCTAATGGTTTCCGAGTGATAACTAAAGAACCCTTAGGCCTAGGAACTTCAAAACTTGGTATGGTGATTGGTCATGACCAGTAGATGACCCCTGTTGATTTTTGGGCCAAGGGTCAAAGGTTAAGGGTCACATTGGGCCTTGTAGGTTAAAAAACAGTTTCCGATCAATAACTAAAGAACGCTTAGGCCTAGTAACTTCAAACTTGGTATGGTGATGATTGGTCATGACCAGTAGGTGACCCCTATTGATTTTGGGGGTCAAGGGATCAATGTCATTTTGACCTTGTACTTAATGACGGTTTCTGACCAATAACTCAACAACTCAAGTTGACTTGGTTGATATTTTTATATTAAACTAAAAATGCTTTTGGTATACACATTTGAAGGTCTTATGTAACAACCTGGCTGTCATTAATGAGGCCTGCATGATTCACAAAATTTATGCATATATTATTTGGTAAGATTTTTAATAACTTAAATTGCTGCACACAACCTATGGGGTCACAATGATTATTATTACCTTGTTACCTTGTGACTAGTCATGAACAGTAGATACATTATGTACTTGATAACCCTTATTAATTGTTTGTTCACTGGGTCAGAAGTCATGCATAATAACCTGATCACATGACTAATTGGCTGCCGATAGGGGGCATACATGACAGTTTTACAAACAAATCTTGTTGGTTATAAACTCTTGATTTTTTTATAGGGGTTTACCCATTACTGCATAAATTGTATTCACAAATATTTTTTGTTTGCAATACAATTTTTTGGTTAGCTGTAATTTTTATGGGTGGGAAACAAAAAATATTTTGTATTTTAAGCTTTACTGTAAAATGAACAGAAGTAATTATTTGTACTTTATAAGCAAATGCGACAAGTAAATACTGTTACTTCAGTAAAGTAATTATAAGATTTATCAAAAGACATTTCCATTCCCTTTGCTTTTATATATTCTGCGGTTTAAACACAATAATAATAATGATTATTATGGTTAGTACTTTAAAGTAACTCCTTTATTACAGTTTTAATTCTCAACTTAAGAATTGTGTTTAGTCTCATTGCTGAACAGTCTGTATTTATGTGAATGTTGTATTATTTGTTTTCTGTATATTAGGTACGGCAGTACCGAAACGAAATTTTTCACTCAAGCAATATGGAGTTAGAGGAGAGCAAAGCTAATTGTTATATTGATGACATGATAGCTGTTCTACAAGATGGTAAAGAACTTTTACATCAACAAGATGCACAACGAGCTGTCGGGAAACTCCAAGATGTAAGTGTACATAATAAATTATAAGTTTGAAATCTTTAAAGAGATAAATTATCATAACTTGAATTAAGCACATTTTACTAAATTTACAGAGTTAAATAGAAAAAAGTGTTCCAAGTGGATAATTCATTTTAGTCAAATTGAAGTAACAACTGCCTTAAGTTAACTTATATTGATGAAATCAAATGAAATACCTACAAATACAAAAATACGGATCTATACTTGTTAGTAACAGGTAAGAAAAACAAATGGTGAAGAAAATAGGTAATTATGACAATCAATTGACTATACCACACGTCCTGCCTTAAAGGCAGATTTTTGAAGCCCTCAGAAAAAGTATGAGAATTAAAATAAAAAACATTTGTGGTAATTTTGAAATAAAAATGTTGCTATATGATATAGCTACATTTTATCTCTGAAAGAAAATTGAACATTTCTTTTTATCAGCTAAAGCAAAAAGACTTTTGTTATCACTTACTGAATGCTCTGAAGAAATTTTGAAACAAAATCAAAGATGAAATGACAAAAAATGCGGGAATTTACCGAAAATGCTGCAACTAAAGATGAATATGAGGAGGCTTAAAAATAAAGTTATTGAACTTGAAAGGCAGTTGGCAAAAGAAAGAGAGGGACAACTTGAGGCTGGGAAAGAACAGAAAAGAAAGTTTACTGAACTTGCGGCAGTTATAACAGAGCAAAAACAGGTAAAAAATGTTTTCCTTTTGTGTGTTTCAAGTTGATATACCAGAACATGTATTCCAATACAACCACGTCCGTCCGTCTGTGCGTCCCCACTTCATTCGTGTCCGGACTGTAACTTTGTCATACATTGAGGGATTTTAAAAGAACTTGGCAAAATGTCTACCACATCTAGACGATGTATTGTGTCTAAGAACCACGTCCCTACCTCAAAGGTCAAGGTCACACTACCATTTTGAAGTACACTTTATCACAATTAGAGTTTTTAGGTACACACATTCATGTATGGGCTGTAACTTTGTCATGCATTGGAGGATATGAGGCAACAAAGACCCATTCCCCTACCTTCAAGGTCAAGGTCACACTAATAGTTTGAAGGTACTCGTTTTTTGAGAAGAGTTTGAAGATACACATTTATGTCCGGACTGTACCTTGTCATGCATAAAAGGATTTTAAAATAACTTGGCACAAATGTCTACCACATCAAGACAATGTGTCGCGGCTAAGGCTCATGTCCGTCTGTCTGTGTGTCCCCACTTACACAACAATCATGTCCAGACTGTAACTTATTCATGCATTGAGGAATTTTGAAATAATTTGGCACAGATATTTATCTCAAAACAACATTTTGTTGTGTCCAGGAACTTGGTCCCTTCTTCAAAAGTCAAGGGCACACTATTTTGAAGCATCATGCTATCACAATTAGAGATTACATGTACAATAATACAAAGAACAATATTCAACAATTAGTTACTTTCATTCTCTTTTCTTTTCATAATACCTGCATGCTTAAGAAACCTTTTTGGGGCATTTGTCACTTTGGTGACAGCTCTTATTTCTGTCATATTTTTTTTTCAATTTTAATGAAAAAAATAGGTTATTGTTTTAAGAAAAATCTCACAAAGAGTGGAAAAAAGTCAAGCTACTCTTTATTGAAATTTTGTACATTGACTTAAACAGAAGTAAACTATATAAATTAAGCAAAAAGTAGGTAATGTGCCCTTTATATAGGCAAACAAGTCTAATTTTGTAGCAGATAACTCAATAACAAGGATGGTGGCCCACATTTTTATAACCCCCACAAAAGAAGGGGGTATATAGCAGTCAGCTTGTCGGTCGGTCTGTCTGTCTGTCTGTCGGTCCACATAATGGTTTCTGGATGATTACGAGAGTTTGGAATAAGGTATTGTACTCAAACTTGGTGTATAGCAAGCTTATATGCAGACCGGTCACCCAGGCTGGTATTGCATTTGGATCCCTGGGGTCAAGATCACCATGACTAAAAATAGAAAAATGGTTTCCGGACATAAACTAGAGTTGTGAATCGAATAATTTAATCATCTTTGGTGTAAAGCATCTTATATGAAGATCCCGGTTGGCATTGCATTTCGACCCCCTGGGGTCGAGGTCAAGGTCATCGTTACTAAATATAGAAAAATGGTTTCCAGACAATAACTAGAGTTAGGAATGAGATATTATAATCAAACTCATCTTCAGTGATGGTTCCAATTTTGCTTTATCATAGCCTAACAACATGCCAAGTTTTAGGAAATTCTATTGAACAGTTATGATTTTGCCTATATATGTATAAAACTCCTAAAGCGTCTTTAAAGATAACCTTGATCTGTAACTGAGCTGACTATCTACAATTCCTTTTAACAACATATGGGCCAAAACAACAAAAAAGATTTTGAACAACCTTTACAGAAGTGATCCTCTTGTTGTCCTCCCTAAAAGTAAAATTACTCATGCCCCTTTGAAATCAATGGCCTATCCTTAGGCTACATGGCTAAAGTGATACATATTTAATATGGCTTTGTCTAAGTTATGAAAATCATGAACATGGGTCAAATAGAGCCATGCCTTAGTTTCATGTTTATAATTTTTTCTTTAAATAGGAAAATGACTTGACTGAGGGCCTATAAATTATGCCTCTATAATGTTAAACCTTCTAGAAATGGTCACTTTACAAAACGGTCTCTTAAGACAAGGCATGATAAAAAAGGAAAATTTTATATCTGTCATCTTTCCCACACGGTGGGGAAGTTTTTTCAACTTCATTTATAAAAATGTTTAATAATTATAACACTGTGATCATCTCATTAAATGTTCAAATAAAAAATAACTTTCTGATATTTATTGACAAAACAGCTTTGATCCATTACCTACATGATTGACATTTTCTCAAATTTTCAAGCTATTGTACTACGTTACTTTTCCTTGTCCTCGGCACATAAAATCTAATTTGTGTAAATGTTTTCTGTGGTGATTTTCAATTCAAAGAAACAAGCTACATCTAACTGTAAATATTAATTTAATTGCTGATTATAAAAGTTCAAGGTCAATTCAATGCAGTGAAAATATCAACGGTGAAGCATATACACCATCTCAGTTAAGGACAGGGTGTTGCATTGTTCTATCAATTATATTGGATAATACATGTCTCGCCTATAATTAACTTCATTTTCATATGCTAAAAACTGTTTGGGAAATACAGTTCTTCACACATTTATATATTTTGTTATGATTGTTGACACTTGTCAAATCACGAGGCAGCTTTCACTAAAAACACAAACAATTGACAGGTAGGAGCACTTTTAGAATATGTCTGCAGTAAAATCTGTGTTTTACCATTTAAAAGTGGTTGTTTGATGAAAAGATTAAAATCAAATAGCTGACTAATTAGCCGGTCGCCTATCGCGTCGAGCAAACGTCGCTTTAAAATACATTAAAGATATATAGAAAATGATTGGGGGGGGGGGGTGTTTACAGTGGTCGGTTCACTCGGTTGAGACAAAATTTGCTTAATACTCGTGGCCACATGGGCAAGTTTAACCCATTACTTCATGAGCATTTTGTGAAAATTGAAAAATGGCTGTTTTCATTGAAAAGTCTCCCGTTACAAGTTCAAATTGCTATAATACTATAAAAACTGCTTCAACACTAATCGAACTTGGCACAAATGGTGACTGGACCATTGCCCTTGTAACAATATGCTCAGGCTTAAATTTTCTGTAACCATGGCAACGAGGGGACATCTCAAAATTGCCAAAAATCACTATTTTGCGTTGATTTTTTTCCATCAAAATTGATTTCAAAGTGCTGCAACTTCTCAATGGATTGAGAAAGAGTCAAATGCTTTTCAGCGTTGGTTACACGTTACCTTATGATCAATCTGGCGTCATTTATAGCCTCTCACAAGTCCAAAATTTTCTTTGCGATGAGGGGGACTCTGTCCCCTTCAAACCCCCCAAACAGAAGGGGGACATCCCCCTTCTGGCAACCCCCTGATGTATCTTTTGGTTGGGGGGCCGCGCCGAAAAAGAGGTCACTTTTTTAGTAACATTTCTCAAACAAAAACAAGTGTTGGGGGCCTAAATAAGGCATTTTTTTCACCATTTGAGACAACAAAAGGGTGGGGGGTAAAAAAGGCGTTAAAAGGCGTGTATATAACGTAATGGGTTAAAGACTGTATTTTGGCTGATCAAGCTCAAATGCAAGTTTTCATAACTTTAATTTTTCAAATGTAGCAACTAAAGACATGACTGCAAATAAGAAATCTAAAATAAAAAAGGGGTGTATCAATGGGGTAAAGGTAGCATAAATAAGTATGGACTATAGACTGTTTTTTAGCACACCTATCACAATGTGACATCATTGTGAGCTGTTTTGATGGCCTTTTGTCCGGCATCCGTCTGTAAACTTTTCCATTTCATCATAAACTGCTACGCCAAATTTTTTTATTGTCCCTCAATTCCAATACCGAGTTGAACTCATTTGTTAAAGTTTGTATGATTGCACCAAAAATGTTGAAATGAACAATTATTTGCTTTTGCAATGAAATTGATTTTCATTGAAGGAAATTTGATTTAGATGTTTTTGAGATATATTGGGACACTGGAAAATGGACTTACTTAAATTACCAATATTACTGTAAACAATAGACATTTTAGAAAATTACTGAATAAAACACATTTATTTGTATTATATTTTATGTTGCAGGAGATAAAAAGACTCAAGATAGAAGACTCTCCTCAACAAAAACAGTTAGAGTATGAAAAGGCTAAATCAGGTATGTTATATAGAATATGAAAAGGCCAGATCAGGTATGTTATATTGAATATGAAAAGGCTAAATCATGCATGTTATATATAATATGAAAAGGCTCAATAAGGGATGATATATAGAATATAAAAAGGGAATACTGGTATTACAATGTATATAGAATATGAAAAGGCTAATTCTGGTATGTTATAAAGAATAGGAAAAGGCGAAATCTGGTATGTTTATTAAATATGAAAAAGATTGAATCAGGTAGGTAGTATTTAAAATGAAAATACTAAATCTGGTAAGGTATAAAGAACATTAAAAGGCACAATCAGGTATGTTATATAGAATATTAAAGGGCGAAATCAGATATGTTATATAGAATATGAAAAGGCTAAATAAGGCATGTTATATAGAATATGAAACGTTAAATTAGGTATGTTATTTATAGAATGGAAGGGCTAAATCAGGTTTGTTATATAAAATATGAAAACGCAAAATCTGGTATGTTCTATAGAATATGAAAGGTTAAATTAGGTATGTCATATATAGAATGAAGGGGACAATAAAATTTTAATCAGAAAAGGCTAGATATCAGGTATGTAAAGGCTAAATCAGGTATGCTTCATATAATAAGGTTAAAAAAGGTGAATTTTGCCCTAATTGTGATAATTTTATCATATATTTTTGTATTTAATTTATACTTTTACAAAACAACACTTACTACAAAATCATCATTTCAATGTCAGGGAACTCTCATGTGTGTGTGGGAATCTTGTTATGTTAAGATAATATGTGAGTATTGCTGATTTTAATGGCTGCTCAACAAATTTCAGGTTGTCGTACTCATTTGATAGAACATTATCGCAGTGACGTACTTAAAGTATCAGCAATACCTTTACAACCAGATGAGGAAAATTATAATTTCAGTGACGTTTATATTAGACCCACTATAACAAGCAAGATAGAAAAGAATAGAGGGGAGTCTGAAGAAAAAGAAATAAAGACCATGTCAGAGATTTTCAAAAAGAATGGGGAACCACAGAAGTTTATTTATGTTGTTGGAGATGCAGGGTCTGGTAAGAGTAGTTTCTGTAAATATTTGATCAACTGTTGGTGTATGGCACACAGTGATGGACACAATGAAGATGATGAGTTTGAAGGAGTCAAGGAAATGAAGAAATTTGATTCCATGTTTTATATTTCTCTTAGACATAACATAAAAAAGCAAAGTATCCAAGAAATGCTTGAAATGCGATATGATAAGATAAAAATTTTAAGTAAACTTCTGGAAAATGATTCTGAAAAGATAATTATTTTGCTTGATGGTTTAGATGAATGGTCTTTTGCCTGTGAGACTAGGAATGAGTTCCAGGCAGGTCTTCCGGAACGTGACTTTACAAAGAAATACACAATTGTTACTACCTCACGGCCATGGAAAATTCACAGTTTGAGAGTAAGTAATAGAGAGATTCATCAATTATTGACATTAAAAGGGTTTGATAAAACACATGAAAAAGAAATGATTAAGAAAACAATAACAGCAATGAACGAATCATTAGATCCTTATGAGTGTGAAAAAAAGCTTGAGATACCGTCTGTGGTTGGCCTGAAACAGGTACCAATTATGCTGCAGCAATTGGTTTGTCTATGGTGTGATGGTAAACTCAATAAAACGTCAAGGTGTGCTATTTATACTGGTATGTTAGAACTTTATTTCACCTGGAATATCAATAAAACTTTAGGAAATAATACAGAATGTATGGAAAGTTCTCAGAATGTTGAACTCCCTCAGTATTTAACAGATGTAGAGAAATGTAGATCAAATAGTCATCTTATATATGGTGTGTCACGCTTGGCTTATGAGACATTGTTCAACTACCCGAAGGATAAGTCCTTAACATTTGACAAATATGTGTTTGATGATTTGAAAAGATCACAAGAAGTGCGAGAAACATGTCTGAAACTGGGAATTTTGACAGAAAATAAATGTCCTTCTTTTTCTGTATCCAAACCTAAAAGCTCTGTGTTCTCTTTCATGCACAAATCAATGCAAGAATTTCTGGCTGCAGTGAATATCGGTATCAATTTCAGTGCAAAAATTGGTATGTCAGATAGTACAGGAAATGTTGAATTAGCCAAGAAATTTATTAATGAGGTTTTTCAGAAATGTTCAACAGTAAATGACATATTAGAGCAGTCAAATGTCATCATTATGCTATCTGGTCTTGAACCTAGATTAGCAACACATGTTTCAAAATGCATATATGATACTGTGTCAGAAGACTCTCGTGTTCAGGAATACAGGAGAACACTAAGTAGTGACTTTTTTAATGAAATTAGTAGGGATCATCGTTGTATTACTGATATTCAAAAGCTTATGTTTGAGTCAATGGAAGAATTCAATGCAGCATGTAGTATAGGAAGTAATACTGTGTTTTATATAGGAGATTTGGTCATTGGTAGACAGGGTCAGTATTGTGATAATGTTTGTTCAGGTATTGATCAGCATCAAATTGTTCCTGACTCTGTTCTGTCTATAAAGGTAGATAAAATCAACACAGAAAATGTTAAATTTACAAAATATTTACCAATGTTTCATCATCTTGAAAACATTAAAATAACATATGATGATGATTCACAAAGGTTATTTAGTACACAAAGTAATGAACCATTCATTCAAAAGATGATGATGATTGATGAGGTAAACAATTGTGTTTCTGAGACAATTAAAGTAAATACTTCAACATTAAAGTCTCTGTCTTTTGATGTCTCTAACACTGACAAGCATTACCCAGTGTGTAAAACAGTTGTTAGTTACCTACCTAGTATGATCAATCTTGTAGCAATAAGTATGAGTGGTATAACACTGAGTCATGATGATACTACTACATTTTGTAATTTTCTTGAGACAACCAGTCATCTTGAACAAATATATCTTTTTAATGTTGAATGTGAGTGTAGGAAGCAGCATGATGTTAACTTATCAAAACATCAACAACTTCAGTACCTTTATTTGTATGATAATGTTAGAGTGATAGATGCTGATATTACAAATCTTGAAATATTTAAATTTGGTAAAGTGATTTATAGTAATTATGAGAAAATATTTGATATTATTAGAAAATCTTACAAATTAAAAGAACTTGAATTGTATGGAGATTTTGACAATAAATCTCAATTATATCATACCAACATAACAAAGAGAATAGTCACAGTATTACCATTGTTACACAATCTCAGTAGGCTTGAGTTAGAGTATTGTAGGTTAACTGACAATATAATACAGTTACCTTTAGAGATGAAGAGTTTAAAGAACATTAATCTGGCTTGTGTAGTTATGAGTTTGACAACATGTCAGAAGTTTGTTGATAGTCTTCCTAGTATTCCTCATACTGTAGATGTGATTGTATCAGACTGTTATATAACAGGAGATGGTGAGGAGGTTAATGATCATAGGTTAACATCGACATTACAAAGAGAAGGGAAGGGAAATGATGCTAAACAGTATGTTAAAGATAGAGATCAGTTATTTCATGTTAAATATGATGATGATAATTGGTTTATATTTTCAACAAAAAAGTGATAAAAGTGTCCATTTAGTATACATGAAGTTAACATATAGTGTTAAAACTAAATTATTGCGTGTTAAAAGAGATGATAACTTGGATTTTCATTTTCAACAAAAAAAAAATGATCTGAATTTTTAACATAGTGAGAGAGAATACGTGCAGTTAACATAGTGCTGGATCTAAATTATTTCATGATAAAAGACATAATTATTAAAATAAACATTATCAGCAAAAAGGTTCTAAAGTTACATATTGATGTTAAATAATGAATGTAATACAATATGATAAATAGCAATCATCAAAAACAGTTCAATAAATATCAATTTCTGATCATTGTAGTAAAATTGAAATTGATTAAAGTAATATTCAAATGTGTATTTAAATAAATAAGTGAAAGAATTGCAGTGAAATATAAAGAAAATATAGGTAACTGATCGCTTTCGTCCGGCGTCCGTCCGGCGTCCGTCTGTCTGTCGTCTTGCGTCCGTCCGTAAACTTTTGCTTTAAATGACATCTCCTCATAAACCACTGAGCCAATTTCATCCAAACTTCATAGGAATGTTCCTTTGGTGGTCACCTTAAAAATTGTTCAAAGAATTTAATTCCATGCTGAACTCTGGTTGCCATGGCAACCGAAAGAAAAATCTTTAAATATCTTCTTTTAAACAACCCTAAGAGCTAGAGCTTAGATATTTGGCATGAAACATCTTCTAGTGCATGTCTACCAAGTTTGTTAAAAAAAAGCCCTGGGGTCAAAATTGGCCCCGCCCCAGGGGGTCATTGATTTTCCCTATATGCATATAGTAAAAACTTAAAAAATCTTCTTTTAAAGAACTGTGAGAGCTAGATCTAAGATATTTGGCATGAAACATCTTCTAGTGAGTGTCTACCAAGTTTGTTAAAAAAAAAGCCCTGGGATCAAAATTGGCCCCGCCCGGGGGGGGGGTCATTGATTTTCCCTATATGCATATAGTAAAAACTTAAAAAATCTTCTTTTAAAGAACTGTAAGGCCTAGAGCTAGAACATCTTCTAGTGAATGTCTACCAAGTTTGTTAAAAAAAGCCCTGGGGTCAAAATTGGCCCCGCCCTAGGGGGTCATTGATTTTCCCTATATGCTTATAGTAAAAACTTAAAAAATCTTCTTTTAAAGAACCTAAAGAGCTAGAGCTAAGAGATTTAGCATTCAACATCTTCTAATGAGTGTCTACCAAGTTTGTTCAAATAAAAGCCCTGAGATCAAAATTGGCCCTGCCCAAGGGGTCATAGATTTTCCCTATATGCATATAGTAAAAACTTAAAAAATCTTCTTTAAAAGAACCAAAAGAGCTAGAGCTAAGATGTTTGGCATGAAACATCTTCTAGTGAGTGTCTACCAAGTTTGTTCAAATAAAAGCCTTGGGGTCAAAATTGGCCCCGTCCCGGGGGGTCATTGATTTTCCCTATATGCATGCATATAGTTAAAACTTAAAAAATCTTCTTTTAAAGAACTGTAAGAGCTAGAGCTTAGATATTTGGCATGGAACATCTTCTAGTGAATGTCTACCAAGTTTATTCAAATAAAAGCCACTGAGTCAAAATTCATTGATTTTTCCTATATGCATATAGTAAGAACTTAAAAAATCTTCTTTTAAAGAACCCAAAGAGCTAGAGCTAAGATATTTAGCATGAAACATCTTCTTATGGGTGTCTATCAAGTTTGTTCAAATAAACAAATAAAGGCCCTTGGGTAAAAATTGGCCCGAGGGGGGGTCTATATACAGGTGAGCGACCTCAGGGCCATCATGGCTCTCTTGTTTAAAGATCAGGGTTAGTTTGTGAAAAATATAATTTGAAAAAGTAATAGGTTCTTTGAATTATAAATACATAAATAGATAAATAGATTAGCAAGTAAATAAATTAATGAATAAGTAAATATAATAAGTAATTTGAATGGAAATATCATAAAACAGAAATTTAATGTACAAGGTCAGAAAAAGTAAAAGATAAATATAACATTCAAATACCAGTTATATTATATAATATATGATAGGATAAGGGAATGGTATATGTAATTACCAGTTATATGAGAAATATGTCAAGAGAATGGTATATATCAATACCAGTTATATGATATATAGGACAAGGGAATGGTATATATGAATACCAGTTATATGATATATAAGACAAGGGAATGGTATATATAAATACCAGTTATATGATATATAGGACAAGGGAATGGTATATATGAATACCAGTTATATGATATATAAGACAAGGGAATGGTATATATCAATACCAGTTATATGATATATAGGACAAGGGAATGGTATATATTAATACCAGTTATATGATATAAAGGACAAGGGAATGGTATATATGAATACCAATTATATGACATTAAGGACAATGGAATGGTATATATAAATACCAGTTATATGATATATAGGACAAGTGTTTGGTATATAAAAATACCATATATGTATATTATATGTTAAATATGCAAAGGAAATGGTATATACCAATACCAGTTATATAAGATGTAAAGGAAAATGGTATGGTATAAATGAATACCAGTTATATGTTATATAAAGCAAAGGAATGTTATATGTAAATTCCTGTTATACAATATTTAGACAATGGAATTATTTATATTAACACCAGTTATATGATATATAGGACAAGGGAATGGTATATATAAATACCTGTTAGATGATATATAGGACAATGGAATGGTATATATAAATACCTGTTATACAATATTTAGACAATGGAATGGTACATATAAATACCTGTTAGATGATATATAGGACAAGTAAATTGTTTCATTGAGATGAGGACCATTTACATGTTATATTTTAGCGATTCCTTCTTTGATTGTTTTATATTGTAAAGATTGTAAAAATTTACAAATTGTTATTATGGAAAACCATAAATGTGTACAAGTTAATACTGTTAGTCAGTATTATTCAAACAGTATCGTTAAAGGGTCTCCACTGAGGATAATATTTTCTTAATTTCTTGACATGATAGGACGGCGTTATGTTGTTGAAGTTTCATACTATTTGATGAAGATACATTATTTTTCATGTATAAAATGTGTCTGCAAAATTTTAGAATATTTGCTCACTTTGTTTTTCCAAAATACTAGTAGTCATTTTAGCTCGACTATTCAATGAATAGCTAATGCTATAATAGTACTTGCCGCATTGGCGTTAAACTTAGGTTACTTTTATGTGTGCAAGTTGGTATCTAAAAAAACTACTGAGGGAAAATTTCAATTGACATGCTTGCTCTCTTTGATTATTTAACCTGACTAACACAAATTCCATACCTCTGATATTTTTTCCTCATATTTATGCACCTTTTACGACTTAAAAAATCTTGGTTAAGTTTTTACGTAGTAAGAGTGGATTAGAACTTCATACATATATGAGAGTAATAGGAAGTCTCTGTCCGAGCACATAGATATTTGACAGAATTATTTCCCTTTTTGAAGTTAGAAAATTCTGCATTATCCATCACTGTAGAAAGTCAAGCACAATGTCCTGTCGACAGTGTTTAAATGTTTATAGCTTAAGTCCGTCTGAAAATTGCACTTCATTAATATCGATTTTCAATTTTATTCCGAGTATATTTCTTTAGTATCATTTTTTCCCTTATTGAATACCCCGATTAATCTGTTTTGGATTTTCTATTTTTATTCTTTATTGTTTGGCTTTTGGACCTCAGTGGAGCTCCTTTAAGTGAACTCTTTGTTGTTTATGTTAGAATGATAATTTTAAACACAAGGCAAGTATAGATATACCTTGCTGTAAATTTAGATGTACTAGTATATACTGTAACTACATAGACAGTATAACATAATTTTTAATCAAAATATGTTATACACCATAGATGTAAATATGAATTTTAGCTCGCCTCACCTTGTCACAAAGTGACATAGCAGTTCTCAGCTGCCCCTTGGGGATATAAACCAGTTCTCAGCTGCCCCTTGGGGATATATACCAGTTCTTAGCTACCCCTCTGTGATGTTTATACCAGTTCTTGGCTGCCCATTGGGGATATATACCAGTTCTCAGCTGCCCCCTGGGGATATATACCAGTTCTCAGCTGTCCCCCAGGGATATATTCCAATTCTCAGCTGTCCCTCAGGGATATATACCAGTTCTTAGCTGTCCCTTGGGGATATATACCAGTTCTCAGCTGTCCCTCATGGATATATTCCAATTCTCAGCTGTCCCTTAGGGATATATACCAGTTCATGCTGCCCCTTGGGGATATATACCAGTTCTTAGCTGTCCCTTGGGGATATATACCAATTCACAGGTGCCCCAAGGGGATACAAACAAGTTTTCAGCTACCCCTCGGATAAGTTCTCGGCATGGATATATACCTGTTCTTGACTGCCCCTTGGGGGATATATATAAATTGTCGACTACCCCCAGTGGGGGGATGTATACAAGTCAGTTCTCAGTTGCCCCTCAGGAATATAATAAGTCTCAGATATACCTGAGGGATATAATTATACCAGCTCTCGGATGCCAATACGTCTTTCACACAGACAGCCCTTTTTTTTAAAGTTTATTAGGTTTATATACTATCAAATTGTTATTTTCATATATTCAACGGTTGAATTAGAATTTTTTAATTAAACAATTTGTCAAATTTTAGTACCAAGACATTATCACATTATAGGCATGAGTTATATTTCTGCTGATGTTAACATAATTATGATATGTTAATTTACTTGTATTGTAAAACATATGTTACATGAAATTACTCAAAAGTTACGTTGTCATCTTGTGTCTGAAAATGCATCCTGGGTAACCAATGCATAACTCGTTGTGTAAACATTTCATTCGTGATGAATGTACTTGAGCCAAATCAGTACCCCTGGGTTCGGACGACGCTAAAATAAAGATGCTTTTAAACAGTAATGATATAACTACACCTTATTAAAAGTATGTTAGATTTTAGCTCACATGTCACAAATAACATGGTGAGCTTTTGTGATCGCTTTTCGTCAAGTAACAAGTTCAAACTGCTATGAAACTGCTATGAAACTATGAAAAATGCTTCAATTCTAATGAAACCTGGCACAAATGTTGACTACACCATATCCTCTGTAACAGCATGCTCAATGGTAAATTTCATGTTACCATGGCAACTGGGGGACGTCTCAAAATTGCCAAAAATCACTATTTTGCATTGTTTTTTTTCCATCAAAACTGATTTCAAAGTGCTGCAACTTCTCAATGAATTGAGATAGAGTAAAAGGCTTTTCAGCGTTGGTTACTAATTACCCTAAGATCGACCTGAGGCCATTTTTAGCCTGTCACATGTCCAAAATTTTCTTGGCGATGACGGGGGACTCCGCCCCCTTCAAACCCCCAAACAGAAGGGGGCTCGTCTCCCTTCTGGCAACCCCCTGATGTAATATTTGGATGGGGGACGGCGCCAAAAAAGTGGTCACCTTTTTAACAACATTTGTCAAACGAAAAACAGTGTTTGGGGCCTAAATAGGGCATTTTTTGCCTCAAAAAAAGGGGGGGGGCAAAAAGCCGTCGAAACACGCTTATATAAGGGAAAAGGTTAAAAAAATCCACAGAGCTAGAGCTTAGATATTTAGCATGAAAACATTTTTAGTAAGTGTCTATTAAGTTTCTTTTAATAAAAGCCTTGGGGTCAAAATAGGCCCCGCCCGGTGGTCATTGATATGTTTACATGTATATGTATATATTAAAAACTTATATTTTTACACATGCACTATTTCAGATACAAATATGAACTTTGTGATATCAGTTAAAGATTTCGATTTTTTATCTGCTTTTGTTTATAGTTTACAATATTACTTGTTCCTTGTCATAGAGGGTTTCTGAATACAGTTGTGGACAGGTGAGCGATTTCAGGGCCATCATAGCCCTCTTGTTTATGCTTGCTCATGTTAGTATATACGAAGATCAAGATATGTTAAATATCAACATATGTTACATGTCTTTTTGTTACATGAAATTCTGATTAATGTATCTAGTACATATGTAAACATATTATCACATGTTAATAAATGTTTTTTTGAAAAAAAAAGATTACATTATTTTATAACAAGAAATGTTATGTGACATGTAACTATACATACATTTTAAACAGTTATACCTGTTTGTTTTAAAGGCCCATTAAGCCTTAAAAATGCCATCATTTTTATTGTTGTGTCGCCTTGGAAAAGGTGACATATAGGTGTTACTTTTGTCGGCGGTGTCGGCGTCCTTGTCGGTGTCGGCGTCCTCTTAAGCTTGTCCGGAGCATAAGTCAGTCATTATAAGTCGGATTGACTTCAAACTTGGTATGCATGCTTCTTACAATGACCCGAAGTGCAGTGCACAAGAACCGGTACTCTGCACTTCTTATTTTATGAGTTATTGCCTTTTGTTAATTTTCATACTTTATTTTTGTCCGGGCCATTTCTCCTAAAGTATGAAATCTATGGACTTGAAACTTCATAGGATGATAGATCTCATTAAGAAGAAGTGCAGTGCACAAGAACTGGTACTCTGCATTTCTTATTTTTTGAGTTATTGCCCTTTGTTAATTTTCATACTTTATTTTTGTCCGGGCCATTTCTCCTAAAGTATAAAAGCTATGGACTTGAAACTTCATAGGATGATAGATCTCATTAAAAAGAAGTGCAGTGCACAAGAACTGGTACTCTGCATTTCTTATTTTTTGAGTTATTGCCCTTTGTTTATATTCATACTTTATTTTTGTCCAGGCCATTTCTCCTTTAGTATAAAAGTTATGGACATGAAATTTCATAGGATGATAGATCTGATTAAGAAGAAGTGCAGTGTCCAATAACTGGTACTCTGCATTTCTTATTTTTTGAGTTATTGCCCTTGTTAATTTTCAAACTTTATTTTTGTCCGGGCCATTTCTCATAAATTATAAAAGCTTTAGACTTGAAACTTAGTAGGATTATAGATCTTATTGATAA